GAGATCCGAAGCTCATTTGACCGAATTAAATATATCAATGAATTTGATTCATATAATTAACCAGGACCGATAATTAAGACCCCTAAAAATTTGAATTTCAAAGAATTTTGTAACGTGGCCCTTGTTGTTAAGCTAAGCTTAACAAGATTCTAAGTAGGGAGTCTTCTGCTCAATGGGTGCAAAATTTTTTTTTTTACAAAATCTTAGTTTTAGGGTCCTCCAAAAAAGGACCCTAAAAAGGGTCCCTGCGCGACCCTTTTTTCTACGTGAGGACCCCCGTCTTAGGATCCAGAACACGATGCATTACTACTAGGGTCAAATTTCTGTTGAACGAAATAATACGCGACATTTTTTGAGCCAACAAATTTTTATTTAGATTTTCATCAGACGTGCATCTATTAACTAGCAGACCGTTTGAAATGACTGGAACTAAATTTAGTTTAAAAAACTGGAATCAGGAAGCTTAGAAAAAATCAGTTCCAAGCGCGATAAAAAACTTTAAAAAGTTTGGCTATTTTGATGCATAAATTATTTACACGATCGTTATATTTCAATGTTTTGTCTAACATAGTACATAATTGTTTCAAATTATTTGGACGGAAAGCATGTTTTCTTCTAATTTAAAATGATGTTTACTATTGCAAATTATCCCATTTTCCATCAATATATATTTTCTGGTGTTAATAGCCATTTCGTTAGCTCTGCACCAGTCATGGTCATCTTCTTTCAACAGCTCGCTTTGAAATTTAGTTTTTTTGAATGTTAGTGGGCCGCTATCTATCATAGTTTTAGTTCGCAAAAGGTGTCACTTCAATTTTGTATAAGGATCCGGTGGATCAATTATTCAAAGCTGAGCCTTACTGCACACTGGACTTTGTATTTTAGTGAAAAAATATGGGACCATTTCGAACATAGTGCTTTTGTTTTTCAGGTAGTTTTTAAAAAAGTTACCATATTTCCTGCCGAAGCCTAAAACTCAAGGTGGTTCAATAGAATTTCGGGTAGGGGACTGAAAACTCCTTTTTCCGCAAAATTTTTTCAACAGCTAGGGTACTTTTATTAGTAGATCTAATCACACTAGACCATCCAAACCTATTTGGCCGAATATGTGCAACCATATATGCCAATGACAATGGTTATTTTAGCGTGTTCCGCTACTATCTTACTACATCATTTTTTTGCTGAGCAACCTTGGTACTTTTTAAGAGAGCATTTGGCGCCGAAATCATACAATTTGAGGAAAAAGACTTTAAAATGTCGATATTAATCTTATTGTACCAAAAAGGGCCACACTAGTGTTTTGGAAGATCTCGAAAAATCAATTCGGATAACCTGAAACGGAAAATTGGTTACAAAATGCTTCATGAAACGCGTAGATATATATCAGTAAAAAAATCCGAATTGCAGTCCAATTGGCTTGAATTGCACGACTTTTCTCATTTCTTGTGTTGCGATACGTGTTCTATTGCCATATGTCAATAATTGTTCCGACTTTCGATACAAAAATAAAGGAATATTTGTGCTCGGAGTGGGTTTTTTTCTTTCAGACAAATTTCGACTTTTTAAAAGCCATTTTGACGAAATTTTTTCAACTGTAATCTTTTTTGGTAAAAATATGGGGGTTTAAACCCTGGCATTTCGGCCAATTTGGGACAATTAACGCGCGATATATTTCGCGCTATTAACGAGTAAGTGTAGAGTTAATCCGTCTTAGAAATTGTTGCAAATTGGTTGAAGGACGCTTATTTGCCATAATTCATCTGTTACTAGAAGCAAAATTTATCATTTTGTACTTTATAGGGCGTGTGGGGGATGATTTTCACAAAAAAACTCAAATTTTTTCTTTTTTTTTCATATTTAGTTTTTCAGGTTATTACTGCTTCATAGACCTTAAAAGGCAGTCGGAACATTTAGGGCTTTACCCTGATACGAGCAGTCTTGTTGTTCCGACTTTCGTAACAAAAGTAACGGAATCTTTGTGCTCGGGGTGGGTTTTTTTCTTCAGACAAATTTCAACTTTCTAACTAGCCATTATTGACGGATTTTTATAAAATAATTCAAAAGATATTGTTGTCCTGAGCTCAAACCTGAAAAGATAATTTACCTGAGTTTTTTTTTCGTGAAGTTATGGGGGTTTATAGACCGCCATTTTGGCCAATTTGGGACAATTAAAGCGCGATATATTTTACGCTATTCACGCGTAAGCGTAGATTTAATCCGTCTTGGAAATTGTTCGAAATTGGTTGAAGGAAGCTTAATTGCCATAATTAATTTGTTACTTGGATTAAAATTTATCATTTTGTACTTTATCTAGCGTGTGGGGGGATGATTTTCAAAAAAAACTCAAATTAAAAAAAATTCATTCAATTTAATTTTTTCATGCTATTACTGCTCCAGAGACCTAAAAATGCAGTCGGAACATTCAGGGCTTCGCCGTGATACGAGCAGTCTTGTTCTTTTTGTGTTCAAAAACTGCATCAGGGCGTTGAATCGAAGTCTCAACAATCATCGCTTCGTACTGATATAAGCACATGTATCTGAGCACGCACAACAGCTTTTAGGCCTGCGGGATTTAAAATTAAAGTGATCAAAAGACCATTTCCAGCGCTTTTTAATAAGATATCACATTAATGCAAGGTTTTCAAAATCCGTTCTGCTTTCTACCCGTTACAGACAACCCGTTTTGCACTACTATATCCGTTCACCGCAGACCTTCAACAGCAGATGAACAAAGTTGAGCAGACTGGAAATGTTCAAAAGAGCTTCGGAAACCTAATGAAAGTCATGCTGTCCTGTTAACGAGAACGGGGCAAATTATTTGGATGATGACCTTGATGATGATTTAATGGATTTCGGTAAAAAGTAAAAAAAAAGTCCGGTAAAAAGTAAACAAGACTGCTCGTATCAGGGCGAAGCCCTGAATGTTCCGACTGCCTTTAAAGGTTTATGGAGCAGCAGTAATAGCATAAAAAAAATTAAATGAAATAAAATAAAATGAATTTTTTTTTTTTAATTTGATTTTTTTATGAAAATCATCCCCCCACACGCCATATAAAGATCAAAATGAGAGATTTTGTTCTTTTTAACAAATCAATTATGGCAAATAAGCTTCGTTCAAACAATTTGGAACGATTCATAAGACGGATTAAATCTCCGCTTACGCGTTAATAGCGCGAATTATATCGCGCGTTAATTGTCCCAAATTGGTCAAAATGGCCAAAATGGCAATATTTAAACCCTCATAACTCTACGAAAAATGATCACAAGTGAAATTCCTTTTCAAATTTAGGCTCAGGACAACAATACCTTTTGAATGATATAAAAAAATTCCGTCAAAAATGGCTAGTTAAAAAGTCGAAATTTGTCTGAAGGAAAAAAAACCACCCAGAGCACAAATATTCCGTTACTTTCGTATCGAAAGTCGGAACAAAAAGGTGATATTTAAGATTGCAAGTTTTTCTTTTGGGTAAAAATAAGAAAAACCCACAACATGCTAAACGCGCTTCAATTAGAGTATAAAAAAATGAAAATAAGGGGGAGTTTTCAATAGTAAGTGACTCAAATTCATCTGTTCTTCTGTATATTTCGACCTCGATAACCAAACTTAGACCAGTTTTTCTTGACAGTGAGAATTTTTTGAGTGTGCATTTTACTACTAAAGATTTCTTAAAGGCGAACTTCAATTATCTCCAGCTAAATAAATTTAAATTAAACCTGAAAGGCCCCGGGATCGAGGTCTGTTTAAAAGACGTGTCAATCAACCGGAATTAAAAATCACGCAGAATACAATTCCGCGACTGACCGCTCGTAAGCTGGACAGAGTTTAAGATTGCGGACATAGTCTACAAATATAAAGTTTTGGTTGCAAAACTCTGGAAAATTCTCAATTCCGTCAAAAAATGATAGCAATACAGTCTGATATAACGTCACATCAGTCCAGAAATTAATCTGACAAACCCTCGTGAAAGACTCAAAATTAGTCAATAAAGCGGAGTACTGTGTTCGGAACCACAGATCTGTTTCTGATTATAATCAAAAAGCTTTATAATAAAAACTCTTCTTGCTTTTTTAATAAAACATATGACTGACGGTTCGCAAAAATCAATTGTCTAAATTATGTACATATTGGAAAATTAAGCGAAGAAAAAGCGTGCCCATTGCAAAATGAGGATTAGTCGCACTTAAGTTTGTTTGGTTACTCATTTTTTGAGTCGCGCAGGTAGCGGATAAACCATGGTCGCTATAAGCTGGTTATGTTTTGACCGATTCGATCAAAGAAAGAATATGTTCGACTGTTTTCGACGCAAGCATGCTAAGTTTCGACCGACTCGGCACAAACTGGCTATTTTTGACCGACTCGACCGAAGAAAAAACTGTGTTTGACTGTATTCGGCACTAGTGTGCTATGTTTTGACTCACAAGATCCAAAATGGCTATAGTTGACTGACTCGCATATACGAGGCTCAATTGTGTATTTTGTGAATTTTTCGCAACAAGTTGAAAAGAAATTTGTGGCGGAGTTTAAAGCATAGCTAGTTTTAGACATCTTTTTGCTGTTTTGGATTCCACAATCAAATAGCTAACACACTGTCTGCTCAAAACAGTCAACATTTGTGGGTTCTGAAACAATTTATGGAACCTACAAACGATTTTGCAGAATCCGCTCTCAATTTGCGAAATCCGGAACAACTAGCTATTTGAGCTCGTTGCATATAATTCATGAAAAAACTGATGTGCCGACAAATTTACATTTCTAAACAGTTTTGAAAACTGTGCGCCTATCTGGTACACAATTTGGGCTCCTAATTTCGAATGATGGAAAAACTTTGTGGCTCGCCGGTCTGTACTTAAGTCGCGGATCTCGACCTGAGAAGTTTGAGTTTGATCTTCGTAGTAAAGCAATGACCCAAAATACTTTAGCAATGACCTAAATTAGTTCAAATTTTGAAAGAGCATATAATTTATCTCAATTTATCGTCCAACAAAGATTTGCAGAGATTACTCATGTTAATTTAATTCGTCAATTGCTTCGAAACATACCAAATGTCCCTTTCAACCGTTTCATTTGATGAAAAGAAAGAAAACTACGGGAGATTTTTTGACCCAGAAAGCTATCTGAAGTTTTACTTTTGCCAGCCAACAACGGACTCTAATCAGGTACGACAGTTGCAAAAAATTTCACATAGTCTTTTTGATAATAAATTGCAGTAGGTGCGCAGAAAAGGTATTTTATATTACAATTAGAGCCACATATAAATGCCGTAAAGTCCCGTAGAGAGGAGGCCGAGTAAGAGCAGAGACTTTTTGGGACAGGATTTCACCACATTTTAATCAAGACTTCCATATTGATATGCTTCTGGGGCTCTTTTCCAGTCCTCCCCTTTCAAAATACCGAGTTTTACGTTTGTTTTACATGTTATTACGGCTAAATGTGTGATGTTACGCTGTAAAGTATGAAGAACAAATTTGTTCAGAATTGTCGATTTGTTCACCACGCCAAATTTCATTGCATTATGGCAACGTTAAATAGACTTTTCAAAATTGAATTTCAAAGGAGGGGGGAAACTGGAAAAGAGCCGCTTCTGGTTATTGAAAAATACAGATGCGAAGTCATTATCAACTGCCTCCCGAACAAAATTCGGTATGCTCATTTTTTTGCTAAACTTTTGGGCGGTTTCCCTATATATCAAATTGGCTCATTTGGTAAAACTAACGCACGTTAAAATATTTTTGAATAACGCGCTAGCCGCGTTTTGCTCCGGCTCAGAAATTGTTCAAATTTGTTTTTAAACAAGCTATTTAGAAGTAAAACGAAACGTTACAAAAACTAAATTATGCCACTTCATCTAGCGTATAGGTGAAATATTTTCCGAAAAATATTAATCTACAAAATGAAAACAATTCTTTTGCCATTTTTTTGGAGTTTCATCAAGTCATCGAGTTTTAAGATTTCTTAATTTAGCCAAAATGAATTCATCTAAGGGCAGAATTCAAACTTTCCATTAGCATGTTGAAAATCCGGCGAAAAACCCGATTCAAAAATTTAGGACCCAATAGTTGATCCTAATCATGTAGTCGTAGATGCGGAATGCATCAGAACGTACTGTACGTTGAGCTTCGCTGGGAAAATTTTCATAGCAAACAAAATATCGAACAGTTAGGTCATTTTTATTAACTGAACTGAAATTCAGCGCAATCAGCGTTAAATTCGAGATTATAAATGTATTGTCATGAACTTAAGCTGCTCTATGGTTCTACTTAAGGATTTATGTCAAGATTTCTATTTTAGGAGCATGCTTTTTGCTAGTCAACCAAAAAAACCAATCAATATTTAAAATTAATTTTAAAATGAGAGTGGGCTAAGAAAATGTTGTCTATGTTTTTGGACTAAGTTAATCGCGCTGTTATGTTTTTTCGATTCCAAGCGCCTATCTACCTTATACCATTCTACACTATAATTAAAGCAATTGAAACTTACCCCTTCCTCTTGAAGAATCCGAAACAACATATTTCCGAACAAATCAAAGAACCATTAATTAAGATCAAAGAATAATTGACGCACGTGAACAAATATCGAAGCAACGAAAAATTTGCTTGTTCAAAATGGAGAGTAGTTCAAAGCATGAACGAGCAGAAATTTTAATCCAATTTTGCTATAGAAATGCGTTGCGTCTATTTCTTAAACAAGCAAAAGTCATATCATATCAATTTCACCTAGCTGAGCGGATAATGCATTTTTTTTTAAACCGAAAGAAATTACTGAAGGTTTGACTAATCAATCACAAAAGGAGGGGTAGACCCTCCAGTACCAGGCCAAGGTGGTACTGGGTAGCGGGGTGAGGGAGAAGATAAAATTATTTTGATATTGGCCTCTATTATCTCTCAAAATATCAGCCATCTACGGCCAATCAAAAATTGTATGTTTTTAGAGGTTCAAGTAAATTTTTGAAAAATTCATAAAATTTGATGAAATAAACACAACTAGGAATGACTTAATTGCGCGAGAGAATACAAATATGTAAAAATAGAATCTTTGTTGAAATTATTGCATTTTTTTTTACTTTCTCATTCACTACTCTGTACCTCTTGCGACAGGGAATGTTGTTTCCCCCCTTGCTTTCATTATATTGAAGTTATGATTGGCAGCATCCAGTTTGATTTGTTCCAGAAAGGTGTGAATGGATGGGTGGTTTACTGAGAGTAGCAATGCCAAAATGCCAGCCTTCTACAGCATTTGTTGTCCTTATTATTCCACAAGCTGCTTATTTGAATGATTCCAAAGATTTACTGAAAAAAGAGGGTGACGAGAAATCCTTCCGATGGTTCCGCCTTTAATGTAGGTGCGTTGGAAGTATGAGGCTACCTCGTCAACTTTTTCAATAATGTTGTCGTCGAGATCAAATCTGTCGGACACTTTTTCGAACTTCTCCATAACCAAGTCGAAAGCAGCATTGACGACTTTAACTGGTACAAAACCTAGAGCTGGAGTCAAGCGCAATGACAAATGGAGTTCTTGATCAGTTTCATACAGTCGTTTTAGTCGTTTTGTTTTCCGCTTGAACGCTTGACATAAATGAAAATATCAACCTATAAGCAACGCTACGTTATGATGACTAGCGAAAGCATTTAGTGCTGCACGTTCGAAATCGAGGAGAATGCGGTGAGGCTTGGTGTTTTCGGTAATGGTTGATAATCCCTTCAGTAGCTTTTTGTATGTGAGCGCTCTTTTGTTTGGCAACAGTGCATAAATGCAGTGGGAGTAAAATCCAGCAAGTTCATTTTGGATGGTGTAAATTTGAAAAAATTGAATTGCGCAAACTTTGAACGTTCCGTCACATAGCCAAACATCTCGATGTAATATCAAACTCTGGATATTGTCGCAATCTCTAAAACTCAACACACTTTCTGGATCTTCAAAGCCGCTATCGAAGACGCAAAAATCCTCGTGTTGCTTTGGTACCTCAAAATGTCTGTCGACAATGAAAGGCACTTTGGGTCTCTCATTTATTTTTTGTCGATTGAGGGCCCAATTAATTGCCAACCGGCAAGGATGAACTAATTGAACGGCTTTTTCTTCGGACACAGACTGCAGGCCGTTTGCTATAATGATGCTTTTGACTGGTACTTGCAGATTTTTTGTGTCATGTTTCATTTCGAGAAGCCTTGCATCTAAACGACCAAGAAATACTTCCTGAGTTTGGTCATTTCTCTTGGAAATAGGAATGTTATCTCGGGTTACTGCCGTCGTTTTGCATTTATGTGACCTCCCCACCTTGAATACTTCCAGTGAATGTTTCCTTTCTTTGTTTCCTGTTTTTTGGTAAACTCGTGGCCACCGATTACAAGCGTTCTCTGATTCTGTTGGGATAGACCCCAAAAAATTTGATTCATTTTGGTAAATATTATTCGAAGGAAAATTGATAAAATTACGCAGTTTTTGTTTCATGTTTGTACGTGATATTAAAAAAAATTGGGGATTAAAACCTGTTAATTAAGACAATTTTCAGAAATTGAGACTTAATTGCGATTTGGTCTTTAGAGCAATTTCCTTAAGTGAAAGACTCAAATTGAGTTCAAAAATTGAAACTCAATTGAAATATTACGTGCTGCTATCTTTCCGATTCTAATTAGGACTTTCAAAAATTACATATTTTATGCCCCAACTCGGCGCAGGTTAAACTGGTATATATGGCAGATTAGTATAGGGTAGTTTAGTATACGGTAGATTAGTATAGGTTAGATTGGTATAGGGTAGATTAGTATGCAGCGTATAATGGCATAGGGTAGAATGGTATAGGATAGTTTGGAATAGGGTAAATTGTTCATACAATGCTGAAAGCGCACGCGTAATTTTGCTATGTGTGGCGTTTCATTTTTATATTCACACTCAAAATTTCTCCAAAAGTAACCGAAGCAAGACAATTCATCATAATTTTACCTTTTGACTAGATATTAGAGCTTTTTTTAATGAATTTTGACAACGCAAACTTATTATATAATATATTAAAGAAACAGTAAACAAAAGTCACAAATTTTAAGACCAGTTGAAGGGCAATTAGAATTTTCAGGATTTTGCCTTGATGCAAGCAGTTTTTTTTATTTTGACTTTCAAAATAAATATGGCATTTATTTGCAAGGGACGGGTTGTTGTTTGGATTAATTTGAGACATTGAAAGAATAGTTTTCTACAAACAAATACTATACGGCAGTGAAAAAATCCACTTCTTGATTTCAAATAAAATAAACTTGTCAGTTTCAATCTTTTTTGTTAAAGTTGTGGAGTTTAAAAATTTACCATTTTGACAAAAATTCGTACAGTTTTTATGTGAGCTTTAAAATTTTTGTATGATGAAATTTTTAAGATACTGAAAGCGTTACGCAATGTATTAATGCGTATAAATATACCCCGCAATCAAAAACCTTCCAAATTGATATGGGGAAGCTATTTGGTCACCCTTATTTCCTATTTAAGTCAAATGTCAACATCTACTCTTTTATTCAGGCTGTTGGGGCATGAATTTCATAGTTAACCAAAAAACTTTCTTCCAAAGTCTATTCGAGACTAATGGAAGTTCAGTTAGAGCTTTCATAGTTTTGCCACGAAATACGAGCTCATTTATTTTAATATATGAGATTTCAGAATCAAATTGGTAAGATGGCTGCTGATTTTTTTAAATTATAAAATAGATAAAAAAACTGCAAAAGATGTGTGGTTGCTCTTTTCAGTAAACTACAGCGAAACTTTACATGTTTACATTTACAATTATTGCCTCAAACTGCTGTTCAAATTTAGAAAAATGTCCTATTTTGATATTTAAATCTGAATCAGAACCTAATGGATTGGGTAACGAATAGCACGTCAACAATTTGGAAAAGATTTTTTTCCAGACTTGAGCAACCGCGTACGAGCGCGAATTCATCCCTGCTCAAAAAATGGGGTTCAAATAAACACTTTTTACAACTTTTAATTGTAATTTATCAATTTATTTCAGTTTTTCTTTCAATTTCTTTCAGTGCGTGGGTCTTCTTCCAGCAATTTGTTCACTCAGCGCCCCTTCGTGCAGATTTTGACTAGTATTCTTCCGTGTTCTAATACTTGTGAGTGATATTTTCAGTCAAAGCCCTGCTTTTGCTTCTAGTTATGTTGCCCTGCTTCTGTTGTCGGAGTTTTTCAATTTAAGAAGTGATGTTGCCCTGATTATATTGTCAGAGTTGTCTATCTCTACAACTTGTGTTGCCCTACTTTTATTCTCGCAGTTCTCTGTTGACCAGATCAGTTGCCTTTCTCAGGTTGTGATTTCTCTGTCACAACTCCTTAGCAATTGTCAGTTTATTTGTTTGAGAAAACAATCAATCATAACTCCTGAATTTTCACTCGTAGTTGGTCATCTGGGTCCTTAAATTTTTAAGTTTAAGGGGCGACAAACGGTTCATTAATAAGGAGTGAACTAAAAAGATTTGAGTGATATATTCAGCAGTGTATATCCTGATCAAGTTAACATGTTACGTCACGCGCACAATGTTGCTCAAACCAATGAGAAAAGGTCATGTTTCACCACCTAAATTAATAAAAAATGCGAAGTGATTTTTTAGATTGAACCGAATAAGATTGATCAATTTCAGTTCAATTAGGAAAACCCACCAATAACTGAAGAAACTTTTCTTGAGTAAGATTGATTTAATTCATTATGCAGAAACTCTTTTCAATTTTGTATTTGCCTATGTTATGAAAGTTGTTTTAAAAGACGAAATAAAAGTGTGGGAAAGCAAGAAAAGGAGTCCTGCTTTTTTTTCAGGATGTGTTTCCCTCCTGGAGTCTAAGTGATCGGGAGTTGAACAATGAAATTGTTCGGGCAATTCGCTTCAAAGTCAGAACCATGAAGTTTTGCATTGAAAATGCACTGCGGCCCAAGAAGAAACCCGTGAAAGTACTGGATCTATCCACTGGCCCATTTTGCGGTGAGTTTTTAAGTTATACCAAAATGTACTTTTTTCTCAATATTCTTTTCATGAGAATGCGTTCGCATTTTTGTATCAAGAGAACGCCGCATGCCATGGCATTAGTGGGCCTCTTTCCCCCTCTTGTAGTATACCATCAATTTAAAGCTAGATACCGCTTATTCTCTCGTTGATAGAAGGCGTGTACTTTTATTTGTACAAGTATCCAAAGCGAAAACTATCCCCATATAGTCCGTATCGTGACATACATGGATCCATGTCCTATATTCTGACTTCTTCTGGTTTGTACGAAGCAGCCGTAATAAAGAAACAAGGGATAACCGGTTACTGTGCAAGTAGCACAGAATGTTCCGACCAGTCTTATAAATTTACAACGAAATTATTTTTTTAAATTAATGTCGTTTTTCTGGCGCGGTCTGATGAAAGAATTTGAGCGAAAAAGTAGAGATTATGCCTTTTCGTTAGCCCTTGTAAAATATGCTAATTTGAAAACAATATTTCAAGAAAAAAATTGGAAAAAGGAAAAAATTATGACTGATATTTTTCAAACTTCTTCCCAAGTTTTTGAAGTTTTTGATTCCTAAAATGAAGCTAAAAACTCCAAAAACTAACGACATTTGAGTACAGCTAATTTTTCAAGGCTTTAAAAAGGCAAAAAAGAAGCTAATGTAAGCCTGCTCACTCGCTCGAAATTAGACGAAAAATCAAAAATTTCAAACCGGTTTTTCTCAACACTGGCAAAGTTTATTTGAGAATTTTTAATGTCGTTTGTATCATGACTGAAAGGGTTTTAATATCATATATCACTCAACGCAGTTCGATGATTGTTTTTGGCAGCTAATTTTGCATGGAAAAAAAACTAAAATACACCCGAATACGAAGCTCCTCCCCATTTTCAATAGTCGGAACAAAGATACAATTTCAAAAACATTGCCTCTGTAGACTTTTGAATTCAAAGATGGTTCCACGCATTCGCTCACTTCTTCGACGGTGACCGTAGTATAATTTAACTACAATAGTGGACAAAACAAAACGCAAACTGAGTTTTTACTGTCTAATATATTAGTTTCAAGGACAATTTGGAAAACGTTTACTTAGAGTTTCAACAATGTTTTGACATCGACCGTGCCAAAATGGTCTCCGCTACTCTCTGTATGAACCAGGGAGTCCAGCTTCTCACGCCTCATCAAGCCAGACTGCATTAAATTTGAGCACCAATCTGTTTGCTTTCGAACAGATTTTTGCACTAGCCCATCACATACGTCATCGGATCCGACTGTTTCTGCTTTGCAGGGGCGGATCTACGATTTTCTCAAGGGGGGCGGATTTTTAAAAAATTTTCGAAAATTTTGACGACCTTTTTTTTTTTAGGTCGATCAGATTGATTTTCCGAGGAGCTCTCCCAAAGCAATAAAAAGACCCTGTTTTGGCCAAATTTTCTGCGCCGCAGGCAATTTTTCGAAAAAACAGGTCAAAAAGCCGTTTTTGGGCACTTTTTGGAAAATTTTGAAGAAAAAAGCGGGTTTTTTTAGCGCGCGCTCCCCCTCAAAATTAGTATATATTGGCGCCGAAGGCGCCTTTAGAAAAATTTTAGGGTCGGTTGGCCAAAAATGGATTTCTTAAAAAGTATCAAAGGGGGGACCCTTTGGGTTGGCAGGGGTTCGAATCCCTGAGGAAGGGCGTCCGCCCCCCCCCCCCGCCCCCCCTAAATCCGCCCCTGCTGCTTTGCCAATATTCCCAAAACTCGACTCCATTTGTCATTCATCATCTTTACCGAGACAGACACCCGCCTATTACACGCATCCCACGCACAAGGCTTTAAATACATTGGCGAATTATTCGTATGGTCTGGTCTTTCTTTTTAACCTTTCCTTGAGTCCTCTAGAGAATCAAATTCTTTTTTCCATTGCTGCTTGCATGTCAAGGTCTAGCAAAAGTTCCTTAGAATGTTTTCATTTATAATTTCTTCAAAAAGCATACTGTTTCTTTCCTCTTAACTTTCAATCTTTTTCTCGAACTGAAATTTAGACCTGCCAAAACTAACGTTTCTAGATTCTGAACTTAGAAGTTTCCTTCAAACTCAACTCTCATCACACAATTCTTACTATTATCCGAGGTACCAAAAAGTCCCTTTTGTGGAAAAATTTTTCTAGGAAACTATACGCTACAAATTCAAAATATCTCACAAAACTCAGGTTGGGTTGCTCTTTATACATAGAATGATATGTTGTTTTGCTTAATGCAGAAGGTCAGTTTATGTTTCTGTAATAGGTAGTCATACTAGGAGCATAAACTCATTAATTTTGATTAGATTTTCATCCAAAGTTATTATTCGAGCTATTGGAGTCTTCGTTTACCTCACTTTTTCTGTCTGAATTCCTGACCAATGTTCTTTCTTGTGCCATCTGAGATTAAAATCTGAGGAACTCCTGTCTGTGTCTGCTATAAACTTTTCCAAATTTCCGGACGTATTACAGAGTATTCTTCAGCTCAAACATCTTAAAAAGCCTTTCTAGTGTTTTCCTCTAAAATTGACATCACCCTCTCCTCATTCCCAAAAGAGAAAATCAATTTGCTAACCGATCCTTTGAAGATCTCATTTAAACTAACAAACACTTCCCAATATTTAATCATATCACTCATCACTCGTGGCTCACGATCTTATGACGAAATCCTGACCCGGAGAAAAAATGATTTTTCTGATTTTTCCCAGCGTTGTCTTCACTGTTTCTTCTGCTGTCTATAATTTTTGCGCTGTTTTGATTATGTCAACTCTTTTGATTTTTAAAACAAGTTCTGTTTTCCCTGCAAAAAGCAAGCTATTTTCCGTTTCCGTTGATTTTCCTCTTAGTATCAAAAATCAAAAAAACTCTTTTCATTTCGGCTGAATCTTTCTCGACTCTGCTAAACTTTGCTATAATGGAAAAAGTTTCAAAATGTTTTGGAAGCCGTTTCAAATTAACTGAATTTATTAGTGCTTCACTAATTCATACTACTCGAATCAGATAGCATATCACTATTTTTTTTAAAAGTTGTAAGGTCAGAGATTGTTTTTCTGGGTCTTTGCAATCTGGGTCTTTCAGAATTCCCAAACCTCTTCTGTAAGCATCCCAAGCTTTGCTAACATTACCCCGGTAAGATCGTTTTACAAAATTGATTTGTTATCTAGAGCCTGAACAAGTTTGTACCAGTTGTGCAAGTAATTTTCGTCAATTTTTTTCTTTTTTAATTGCAGCTTGGGTTTGATCACTGCTTTCATTCGCCCTTACATATGGCATAAAAATTTTTTGATCTTCCGTCTCATCTAAGTTAAAATTAAATTGTCACGTTAAAATGGTCATGTTCGAGATCTTCTGTTTTTGTCTTGCAAATGGTGATAATGTTACGAAGAGTTTGTGTTTGAAAATTACGTTGATAAATGCTTCAAAACCCAATAGTTTGACATTTTAAAAAAATAGGTTTCTGGCACGACCTTCCAGCACATGCATTTTTAGTATAAAGCAAAAATGTTCAATGCGCTGAGAAGCTTGTCGGATCAGTTTTCACGATAATTTTTTAAAGTTTAACAGTACTGAAAATTTACAATGACTGGATATGATAAACAATTTGGTGCTACCTTCAAATAAAGTAGCATTTAGTTCTTGTTAATTGTTAGTTGATTTTATTGTTTTGTTCTAGATGCGCCACGTCGGTGATACAAGACACAAAATAGAGGATTTGATGTGGTATATGTGCAGTATTTCATTCAGAGTGCTTTAGGTAATGTTATGTTTGCTTCTGGATTTGACCAAGTTACTGAAATTGTCTGCTCTGACTTCTTGGAAGAAAATCGGAAATACATCATACGAATCATCGAGGTGCCAAACTCCTGTGACTTGTCGGAGGCCTTCACTTGGACCAAATTCACTAAGTGGGCGTACGGAAACGCCGATCTTGTCAATTTATTTCGAAAGAAATGTCGTGAAATTAAATTTGTGGACATGAGCAAAGCTTCGGCGACTGGAATGAGCGAAATTGAATCTTCCGCTCCATATGATCTGATTAATTCTGAATGGGCCTTCTGTGAGGGTTCGCGCGACTTGGAAAACTACAAGGTTCTGATTCAGAAATGCAACAAAATGCTACAAAAAGGAGGATCTTTGGTGCTTTTAGATTTACTGGAGCAGACGTTTTGGGTTCCAGACGCCTCGCGACTCGACAATCGGATGCCAACAGTTTGTGTTTCGCAAGATTGGTTGAAGAAAACTTTGATTCAAAACGGATTTGCGGTTGAACATATAATACTTCATTTTTATGAACAAAAGCACTCTCCTATGTTCAACGCTAAGGGTAATATTCTTGTTTGGGCAAGTAAAACCCACGAAGTATAATGCGTTTCCCCTTCCTCGTATAAGTTGGACTGATATAATTAAAAATTAATTGTATAAAATTATTTTAAAACTTACTTTGGATTAAATTAATTAAAGACTCCGGCAAGTTTTTCCCGAAATAAGGATGTTTTTTTTTAGTTTCGCTTTTGAAATCCAAGTTTAAATTTAGGTTAGAGGTGCATTTAGGGGTTGGACTATTTCACCACCCAAAATTTTCCTTCTATACAATTCTTTCGACGGCACTTTTAGCACCAATATGCACTAATTTTGAGAAAGAGCATGAGCCAAAAAAGTGCAATTTTTGATGCAAAACTTTCAAAACCTTCCAAGAAGTGCCTATAACGGCAGTTTGATTTGTTTTTTTTTCCAAAAGAAAATTTGACTGCGGCGCAGATTTTTTTGTCTCAACAAAAAGATATGGTGTTTTCGAAGATCTTTGAAATTCAAAAAAGTCGACCTAAACAGTTCATCAAAATTTTCCAAAAAATTTTTGAAAACCAAACCCCCCTCAAAAAGAAAAAGATTTGCCTATGATTTATATATAAATGTACATTTCATTTAGTTTTTAAAGTCATTCGCGGACCACCACTTTATCCTTGAAGCCAGGAGGATTTTCTCGAGGGGGAGGGCGGATTTTCAAAAAAAATGTCGAACATGTTGTCGACCTTTTTCTAGGTCGACCAAATTGATTTTGCAGGTTCTCCCAAAGCACTACAAAGGAAAGGCCCTGTTTCAAAAAAATTCAAAAAAAACAAGCCCAAAAATGCGTTTTTAAACACTTTTTTGAAAATGTTAACCAAAAAATCCCGTTTTTTCGGCGCGCTCCCCCCTCAAAGTTTGTATATATTGAGGCTAAAGGAGCCTTTAGAAAATTTTAATGATGGTCCGTCACCTAAAATGGGTATCCCAAAATAGAACAAAGAGAAGACCCTTTGGGTCGGCAGGGGGTCGAATCCCTGAGAGAAAGGGCGTCCATCCTCCCCTAAATCCGCCCCTGCTCGAATCAGAAACTTTCACTTGAAAACTGAGTAGAACAATCAAGAAACTTGAATCAGAACAACGAAATAAGAAAAAAAAATAAGAAAATCGCTCCATAATTAAAAAGTCATTAAACGCTAGTGACTGTTTCGAAATTATAAATTGCTAATAATTATTGAAGAATGAAGAAGAGCAACTTGTGAAATTGAATTGTTGTGTTTTTTGTTAGAACCATTTCCAAATTTTTAACTAAACTTATTTGAAGAAAATTAATTGATGAAGCTTAGCTCAGTCTGGAGCCAAGCTTCCCCGATTAAGTCAATTATCTCACGATTTGTCAACAAAACTATCACCTTCAAAATCACAACTGTCTAAATTAGCGGCAAAACAAAGATTTACGCGCACACTAACACTCGTGTTGATTTGAAGCGCAGCAGAGCAAGCGTTTGCTAATTGCTAATGCCGCGTTTGAAGCTAGCTAACCACACTTTATAGTTGTTCTGTGTCAGCAAAAAAACCTGAAAGCTAAAAACTGGTCTGCTAAAATCCCTAGCACCGCGGAGGTTGAATAGGGCTCAGATATTGTCCCAAAACGACATGAAGCAATGTCTTGTTTTAGCTTTATTAGACCGCCAAACACTTTTTCATAAAAAATGTCTGATTTTTACGTTACTAGACCATTTAATATTTTTTTCTTGACTTAACGTGTTTTGAAAATATTATTAAAAAAATATAAAGTTCGTCAATTTTTATTTAAAAAAGTTATTTCATAAACCATAAAGAGCACTCAAACGTTCAAAGCATTGCCCTGATGCAGTCATCCTATTTTTAACTTGTTTTTTTTTTTCGTGAACCACTTGGAGTTTGTCTCGCTTTCATGTTATAAAACTTCACTGAGTCCTCTCCGGTGCTATTTTACTACAGCCAAGTCTAGCTGACTTCATAATAAAATTTTCTAGATGCTCTTCAAACTTTCAACAAAGATCTCAAAATTGCATTCTGGATCTACTAAACAATCTGCCCCCCTTCAAAAAAGGTAAGGGATTGTTGAGAAGATTAAATTATCCAAATTTTCGACCAATCAGAATGCAGCAAAATTAGAGTTCTCCATACAAAGATCTAGTGCTAATTTACTTTATTTAATAACATAGGTGGACATTCTTTAGCAGATACTATAGGGGGACTCTTTTAGTGGATACCAAAGGGGTGGAGATTGTTAAGTAGATCCGGCATTTCTGCTACGTTAAAATAATCATGGAAACATTATCCACAAAACTACGTGATTGGTACGAGATTGGTTCACTGAAGCATTTAGCCGGGCTGAAGTAATCAACCCATGATTCGACCGAAACGGTCAAACAATGTCCGATTTTTGTCACGAATTATGACAGTTCGATTATTTCTCATTAAAACAAACAAATTTGTACAGAGTCGAACATTGTCCGTTAAATTTCAACTAAGTCGATTAAAGTTAAACAATGTCCGGAAAAGTCAAACAAAATCGAACAATGTCCGGTAAAGTTGAACACAGGCCGAAACGGACATTTTTGAAAAAGCCAAAATTGGACATAATCGAACGAGAAACAATCGAACTGTCATAATTTGTGACGATAAACGGAAATTGTTTGACCGTTTCGGTTGAATGATGAGTCGAGAACCTCAGCCCGGATAATTCCAAAATCAGTTCTGAAAATATTTCATCCATTGTTGAAAAAGGCCTACTTTGAAAAGTCTGCACACTATGACAGTATGAGGAAACAAAAGCCCAATTTATCTAAGGAAATATACAGCAGATGGAAAACTTATTAGCATCTAAAGACCAGAGCACTTGACTTTAGCAACAGAAGGTGAATTAATGTTGAAAATTATAGTCGAAATTAAAAGTTAAGTGCAACCAATCTCGGCGTCTAAAACAACTTCAACGAACTGTGTGCGAAATTTTTTACTTAAAGCATGTCTATTTACTGCCCATAAAAACACTTGATCTGAATCTCAAGGAATATTATAACCGTCTGTCTTGCAATTTTGTTGCTACCTAGCTCCCAAAATCGGAAGTCAAAATTCTTAATTATTATTACTTCCTGAACTCCAAAATCCTAAATATTATTATTTCCTTTCAAGACAAAATTTACTGAAAATGGCAACAAACTCCCACTAAAAAGTTGCGCTAGATGATGCCATTATAATAAGAAAACCATTTGAATTCCCAATAATAAATTTTGAACTGAGTTTCGATAACATATCTATAAATATCGCATTATGCTGACATACCAGAAATAACAACACCCTGTGCATATACAAAAAATGCTTTGTTAGCAATTAACAAGCGTGAAGAATTCGTTTCAAAACTGCTTCAATTGATTAGCCAGCAAACCAGAGTGATAGTATTGTTTTTGCCAAAAATAACAGAAATTCCCTCAAAATCTGAGCTAATTCAGGCGGAAAAAACAGACTGCAAAAACAATCTAATTTGAATCCACCTTTTCTGTCAAGGCTATTATTTACGGAAGCCCTTTGTTAATTGACCTGTTAGTCTTAAATGTTAACTTGATCCGTTTTGAACTCAGAAAACAAATTGAGTATTCACCGTGTAAATTTGTCCCACTCCAGGAAATAGTATAACGACCCGCCTAAATTTCAGACGCCATTTTAATTACCAACTGATCACCATACCAATTTTTTGGAGAACTTCAAAACGGCAGTTCCAAAATTCTAAGGGATGCCAAATAAACAAACCGAATTCATTTCACATAAAGACCCTTGGTAAAGACCCTTGCTCGGTCATTCGAGAAGCACTCAAGGAGTTTGCAACTGGAGCAGTTATAGCTAGCACATCTATCATCAGATACTTTTTAAACTCTGAATTTTCAATGAAGACTCCAAAAGAATGCAAAAACATAATTTTCAATATGAAAGAGTCATGGCTGAAATTACATCCAGCAAAACTCGGAGTTAGTTGGAAAAACCACCCCAAAAATCAAGGGGCTGGGGTGCCCATACCCAAGGTGAATCTCGATGTTTTCCTACGGTTTTCTCGAGGAGTGGGGGTTCAAAATTTTGCCGACCTTTTTTTTAGGTCGACCAAATGGTTTTCCGAGCCCTTCTAGAACACTATGAAGACCCTATTTTGACAAAATTTTCTGCCCGGCCAGCAAACGTTTGAGAAAACATGTCAAAAACTGGGCACTTTTTAAAAAATTTCAACCAAAAAATCGGCGAGTGCTCACTCTCAACGTTAGAACCAATTGACGCCAAAAGCACCTTAAGAAAAATTTTAAGAATGGTCGGCCATAAATGGTTGTCATAAAATTGTACATCAGGGGGGAGAGAAAAAAAAATAAAGCCCCCCCCCCTAAATCCGCCCCTGTCCCTATCGACTCTCAGGGGATCAACCCCTTGGTCACCCAACAGGTGTCCATTTCGGCAACACCCATTTTTGGTTGAAAATACCTAGATTTTTTATTAAGTCGCCTTCAGCGCCAATATGCACTTAAGTTTAGGGAAGAGCGAATTACTAGTAAGGAATGGTCCTCACCTGAAAAATTGCCCACAGGACATCAATTTCTACAAAAAAACTGCTTTAAAAAAATGTAATTTTTTTATCCCTCTGTAAAACAATGATGCCAAAGCCACCTTTTGAGTTCAATGAGTGCTGCTTTCTCTAGCCAATTTAATGTTCGGCGGTCTTTTTCTTGCATTTAGACGCTCCATGTACCAATCTGCAAATTATCGTAGTCTTCCTTCTTATTAACGTTTTTGCGAAATGTCCCTTACTGTTCTCATGGGCTGGTTTTCCGGCCTCGGCTTTTGTTTCCTTTGTATCTTCTGTTGTTTATTTGGCCGATCATCCAACAAGCCGAAACAAGATCCGAACTTGATTGGACAGAAAAAAGACAGTGGCAACACGTGTCTAGGTGAGTAACGAGGCTCCTATGAGTGCACTATCAAATATTCAATTACGTTTTTATAAGTCGAATGGATACTTCTGGATTAACAATTCATTTTTCTATTTCATCATTTTTTTCGGTTTCTCAGTCATCTATTCGGTTCTTTCTTTTTTTGAAAAAAAAATAAGAAAAAATATTATGTAGGAAAATTTGTTTGCTTAAAGTGACCCTGTTAGACAGCATTGGCGCTGTCGATAATTTTAATCCAGTTATCTAGTCAACGCTGGCTCTGGCTTCAGTGAGTCTGAAATTTTTATAAAAACAAACCTAACAGTTTCAACGAAAAAGTTGGAAACCTGGGTTTTATATCCTCTGAGCAAAATTCTTGCATATTCTAAATGTCTAACGAGAACCTAAAAATTTTGGTTCCATTTTGGTTCCATATGAAAATCTTAAGCCAGAACTTTCTTCTGAGATTTTTAAAAAAGGAAAAAGTTATCTTTTGAAAATTCCTACAAAAATTTTGTAAGAATTTTGGTTCTACTAAGACCTGGAAAGACATTGCTGATTTTTTTCAAGATTAATAACTTTTTCTGAATAGTATATATGCTGCATAGATATTATTCAAAAAAATTAGAAATCTTGAACAAATACAGCAATATCCTTTCAGATCTAACTGAACCGAAAATCTTACAACATTTTTGTACGAACTTTCAATTGAGAACTTTTTTCTTTGATCAGAATCTCATAGGAAAGCAAATTTTTGTTTAAGGTTTTCATACGAAATGTAACGTAAGCTTCGTATCAGAAGGAACTTGGATCATAGGTCTTACTTTTTGCTAATTTATTATTTAATACTTTTCTCAAGATTCTAGTGTATACTAATCACAACCTCAAATTAGAAACTGCTGAAAATCGTGACAAACATAGGACACTAGTAACACACGTTGTAGAAGTTGGACAACTTTTTCGTAGATTGATTCATAGCAACTACGAAAAATGGATGGAAAAAGTTTTTAGTTTTTTTCAGTTGCTTGTGTCAAAAATTAAAAGTTTTTGCGGATTCCGGAACAGTTTGTAAAATACAAAGACAAACTATAAGACATAGATATAAAAAAATTGAGCTGTCGTGGAATCCGCAGCTATAAGCGCAAACCGCAAGTTGTAAATCGAATCAGCAAATTGTGTGCTGAATTCGCGTTTTTTTGAATTCTATTAACCAAATAGTTGCGTTTTGAAATTTACTTTTTCAAAATAAATATTTTTTGTGGGTTATCAGCAAGACTGTCCAACAGTTCAATCTCATTAACTGCCATCAAACTGACCTCATCAGCTAAATCTGAACTACTGAACAAATGAGCACTTTTCCGATCTCAAATACTGAAAGAAGGAACACTTTTTTTGTTGCAAATAATGAAAGAGTGAACACTTTATCTATCTCAAATCACGAAAGAAGAAAAAACTGAAATAAATTATTTATGATGTTATATTTCTGAGGTTTAAAAAAACTTCTTGTTTTCAAACAATAAAGGCGTAATCCACAGTTTTGATTGAGCAATAATTTCAGATTTTGTTGATTGGACTCCACTAACAAAACTTAAATCCTCAAATTTTAATCAGTTTTTGCTGGACAATAATTTTAGTTAGTGATTGTTCATGCATGGACTGGTTCAGTTCAGTGTAACAAACGGAACTACGATCAACTTATGATTGTGAAATCTGCTTATTTTTTGGGGGTCCTCTTTTGTGGGCAAAAACCGGAACAACTAGCTATTTTAGCTTGTTGCGGACTCCGGACAAAATTAATTTGACGAGAATTTTTGTGTTACTAGTATGTGTACGCGAAACCCGCGGGAAATTTTGTGAGTGGATTTCACTTATCATTTGGAGTATGTTGTTTTGTCTCTGACAACCAGGAACATACAGACAACATTTTGTGTGCCGATCAAGTGCAAGTTTGGCCTCGTGGGTAACACTTTGTTTGAAAAAAAAAATAGTTTCTTAAGAAGGCAAGTCAAACTATTTCCTTTCGATAAAAAATTTCATGCCTAGCTTTTTATAGACAGTTTAAATAGAGTTATAGGACAAGAAATTTTGCTGTATGAAGTTCGAACCTGATTATCTATCTTCTCGCAATGAGGTTTCATGGAGAATAATTGATTATCATGTATGTTCATGGTTTGACTTCACAAATTTCTACATAAATCGATTATAATGGATTAATACACGATTGAAAATAAAAAAAAATAGGGATGATTTTAACTTCTTATGACAATTAGAATGGGTTATAATAGATTAAAATGGATTTAAAAAAATTTTAATGAGTAAAAACTGGCTTTTTCCGAAACCTTGAAAATAAAGATATTCGAAACCTGAACGTTGCAATCGCTGAATTAGGCTTCACATTTGGCTAAAGCAAATTTTTTTTTCTTATTTTTCTTTCCTTTTTGTTGCTCGTTTTCCCTGAGGACTTGACTATAAATCCCACTAGTATTTTCTGCTGTGAGTTTTGCAGAAAACTCTTCAATTTTTGCCGGTCTTCTGGAGAAAAAAGTTACAGAGAATTTTATTCCATTGTGATCGTTTAAAACGGACATTGAGTGGTTTATACATGATTTAGTTTGTCAAAAAATAATGAACTATAGTAGATTATAGTCGATTGCGCGGTCCCAATTTGCAAGTATAATCGACTATAATGGCAACAATTTTAACGGCGAAATTTGATAATAATCGAATACTATCTATATAAACTCACTGCGTTTTGGCTATTTTTTCGACTTGATCCTGGTTTTTTGGCTTGAAGTGCGAACTGGTTTTTCAACCTGGTTTTTCTACTTGGATGGTTGGCATGATAATTAGTATAAATTCTGACTCTTTCTTAAAGATGCGAGTTTCTTGTATGAATTTGATTTTTACCTCAACCTTGGTTTACTTTGCTATTTCATTCTCGCATAAAGACCTGTTTGCTTCAATAACTAAATCTGAAATACTGAACGAATGAGCACCTTTTCAATCTCAAATACTAGAGGAAGGAAAATTTCTTTCATTACATTTACTGAAAGAGTGAACACCTTTTCTTTCTCAAATAATGAATGAAGAAAAAAAACTGAAATAAATTATTTATGATGTTATATTTCTGAGGTTTAAAAAAACTTCTTGTTTTCAAACACTAAAGGCGTAATCCACAGTTTTGATTGAGCAATAAGTTCAGATTTTGTTGATTGGACTCCACAAACAATAATTAAATCCTCAAATTTAAGATCCGTTTTTGGTGGATAATAATTTTAGTTAGTGATTGTTCATGCAGGGACTGGTTCAGTTCAGTGTAACAAAGGGAACTACAATCAATTTATGATTGTAAAATCTGCTTATATTGTGGGAGATCCTCTTTCGTTTGCCGAAATCGGAACAACTAGATATTTTAGCTTGTCGCGGATTCCGGGACAAAATTAATGTGACGTTAAATTTTTTGTTACTTGTATGTGTACGCGAAACGCAAGCGGAAATTTAGTGAGTGGATTTCATTTATCATTTGGAGTATGTTGTTTTGTCTCTGACAACCAGTAATATAACGACAACAATTTCTGTGCCGATCAAGTGCAAATTTGGCCTCGTGGGTAAAAATTTTTTTGAAAAATAAATTATTTTCCTAAAAAGGCAAGTCAAACGATTTCCTTTCGACGAAAATTATTATGCCTAGCTTTTTATCGACAGTTTGTAAAGAGTTATAGGACTAGCTCTTTCGGTTTGAACCTGATTATCTATCTTCTAGCAATGAGGTTTCATGGATAATAATTGATTATCATGTATTTTCATGGTTTGTCTTCACAAATTTCTACATTAATCGATTATAATGGATTTTTACACGATTGCAAAAATTAAAGTAGAGATGTTTTTACCTTCTTATGACAATTAGAGTGGGCTATAATAGATCATAATAGATTTGATGGATTATATAGATTTTAATGAGTAAGAACAGGCTTTTCCCGAAACCTTGAAAACAAAAATATTCAAAACCTGAACGTTGCAATCGCTGAAGTAGGCTTGACATTTGGCTACAGCAAAATTTTTTTACTGTTTCTTTTTTTTTCCTTGTTATCACTCGCTTTCCCTAAGTACTTCGCTTTAAATTTCACCATTCTTACTTGCTGTGAGTATTGCAGAAAACTCTTCAAAGTTTGCCGATATTTTGGAGAAAAATTATAGAGAATTAAAATTCATTGTGATCCTTTAAAATGGACTTTAAGTGGTTTATAGATGATTTAGTTTCTCGAAAAAAATGGACTATAGTAGATTATAATCAATCGGTCTCAAACTGTAAATATAATTGACTACAATGGCAACTTTTTAACCACGAAATTCGATTATAAGCTATTACTATCTATAGAAACTCACTGCGGGTTGGCTGAATTTTCGACTTGATCCATGATTTTTCGGCTTAAATTGCGAACTGGTTTTCGACTTGGTTTTTCTACTTGAATGGTTGGCATGATATTTAGTATAACTTCTAACTCCTTAAAAATGCGAGTTTCTTGTATGAATTTGATTTTTACCTCAACCTTGGTTACTTTGCTATTTCAGTCTCGCATTAAGACCTGTTCCTCAAAAACGTTTAAATGGACCCCTCAACAGGAGCTGTTAGGCTCAGATTCTTACCCCTAGCGAACGATGCTGAGTTATGGCCGATGTGGTTAACTCATAGAGTAATTTCGGATAGGGTACACCGTCTGCTCGTCACGCTATCTTATTTTCGGCCGGATAGATTCGTGCAACTTCTTAGTCTAATAACGATCCTAATCTTACTCTTATACTATCTAGTCTCAGGTTGTTTAACTAGTCTCTGCTAGGCTCAATAGATCTAGGGTATACTGGTTTATTGCGGCTGCTGAAGTCCTTTTGGAGAGGCAACTAATTTCTAAGTTAAATTCAAATCTCTCTGGTGCTGAAATTACAAGTAATTTCAGCACTTACAAATAAATGGGTTGTTAGTTAGATGGATCATGATTGGTTAATATTAAATACTTTAC